AAGCATGGATGTTTGGTTTCAGCATGTCATTGCATCTTGTGGATCCCATACCTGCTACTGACAGGTGTTGTTTATTTGTCAATGACTTGTTCCATGATTTGCAAAATGGTTGATTGGTGCCATGAACACCATTTTTATGGTTACTCATGTATCAAGGACATAAGGTTAGATTAAAGTGGCTCTTTGCCTAAAGAGGGGTTACCCTATAATTATTTGTCCAGTTTTAAATGGATACAATTTCAAATTATAAATCTACGTTTAAGTAAAGTTGTGAATTTTTGTGATCCTTATCAAAGTGTGAGTAGTATATATAGCAGTTGCATTAAAGGCAGCCCAGAAAACCATTGTTAAAGGACTCATCAACACAGATGTCTTGAGGGGGTAAAAACAATACAGATTTTAGCTGCCGGCAAACGACATATCAGCTGGACATATATCTTTAAATTGCAACATTCACCACCATAAAAGAATCGATCTGTACTATTGAATTTCTAATGTGATCTCCATCCTCTGACAAGTGTACCTAGACATGTCTCATGGAATGACTTTAACTGTATCATGTAAATTTGTTGTGTTTGACATACACAGAATAATTCTTTAATCTGAAGTTTACATGATACAGGCCATGCGGACAAGAGGTCAGTCACATTACTGTGAAACTGATGCTGTATTAACAACACAGTTAGGCATTCCTTTTCCCTGAGATCATATTCTTGAAATTATGTAAACACAGACAGACCATTTCCACATTCATTGAATTTCATAGTATGAATAAATACACCCTTGACCCTTTCACCTTGAACTTAGCATTTTGGGGCTCACATAGAAGAGGAAAGGAAATATAATTTGAAACATTCCCTTTACATTTACCATTTACCAAAGTGAAATCAAACTTATGTGAAAAATATATTGTATTTTATTAACATTTATCATCATGTCTTGGGAACATAAACATAAAATAATTGGTTTAAACACCTAAAGCAGTTGTCATGGAAACATGATGTATAATATCACCAACACCATAGTCTAGAGTTATGTCGTGTTTATCACAAGTTGTGAAACTTTCAAGATTGTGGAAAATGAAAGCTATGGAAAAATCACTGACAACTAAAGCTGCAATTTCAAACAAAAGCATGAAAGACCCATTAAGGTCATCAAATCTGAAGCACATAGAATGACTTCCTCATCTCGTGGCAATGCATGATCAGCATAAATCCGGTAACTATATAATACAGCAAGTTCATTTCTGTGAGCCATGTTGCCAGGACGATGAAGTTACCAGGAACAACAGGATGGTCTGAGAGTGTCGGCTAATTGCCGATTGGTGGAATCACTGCAATGATAATAGCGGACGTGCTGCATAAGCTGACAGTTATGCTTCGATAATGCCAATCACGTCTGTCATTTAGCAAATGGCCTAATGCGTTGTGGAGTAGATTGGATGATTAACTTGATATTTGTCACCCAAATAATTCATCAGCAAGAGATGTCCGTGATCTTACACCATACTTCAGATGACAGTCATACAGCATTACCAGGTCTGTGGGGGTTCACCCGGCAATTACAACCTGTTGTACAAGGTGACTAAGTGTATCTGGTGGCCAGGGTCTGGTGGCATGGCTGATTGGCTTTCATTCTACACAGGATGCCGGATATATTATTTCAGTCACCTACATTGCATCACATCGCATCGCATCGCATCCCATCCATCCCATCCCATCCCATCCCATCCCATCCCATCCCATCCCATCCCATCCCATCCCATCCCATCCCACACCACACCACACCACACCACGCCACGTCACGTCACGTCACGTCACGTCATGTCATATCACATCACATCACACCACATCAAATCACAATTATATTAAGAACACCAAAGCCAAAGAATAAAAAAAAATCTTTTCCAATCTATTTGGCCTAAAATATGACACCGAGGTGAACATTATATCAATGGATCTACTCCTAAAATCAGAGATCTGAGGAACCTCAATTACTGATGTAGAGTTGTGTCCCTTAGCTGAGTAAGGATCCACTGAATCCAGGAATCTCTATAGTAATGATGGCTGTTTTTTGACCACCTTCCCTGACTTACAAATATGGTGGACATCTAAATGTCTTTGCTTGTCTGAAACACGAAGCTGACATGCCATACCAAACAGAAATAATGTTGAAACTTGTACTTAACACAAAGCATTCACTCAAAATCACATCCTGCTACCACAGAAACAGCACAATACTGGCGTGCATCACCTCAAAGCTTAGTAACTCACTTAGTCTATGTCATACAGACCCTGAAGCAAATATATCCAAGAAATCCCACGCAAGTCTAGTAAATGTTGCAAGTCTAGATTTCCACAGCTTCAGATGACAGTAGGACTGGGAGGCGGTGGGGGCAGTAAATATTCCTGTGACACACAATTAAAGCAGTAATGGGTGACAAGAACCTTTGTACATGTTGTGAAATTCCAAGAAATTATCCCTCTGCCGATTTGTTTAGTCTCTGAAAATGAAGAAAGTCTCAGGGTTGTTTTTCATTATATTTTATTATTTTACTATGAACATTTCTTTCTGTGAAATATGTTCATTTCAGAGACTAGTTGTTAGTCTATAACTCACTGAATAGCATGAGAGTGAGTGAGTATGGTTTTACGCCACTTTCAGTAACATTCCAGCTATATGGCGGCGGTCTGTAAATAATTAAATTGAGACCAGACAATACATTGAGGAACAACATGGGTATCAATCTACGCAACTGGGATACGATGACATGTGTCAACCAAGATCCTGTTAGTCGCCTTTTATGACAAGCATGGGTTGGTGAAGATCAATTCTAACCCGGATCTTCATGGGTAAGCATAAGAAGGAACAACATCAAGGTCAAGTCCATCTATCTCGGGATAAGCAGAAAACATATCACAGTAGTTGGATGTTGTCCAATAACTAGTACATGTGCACCAAGGAGTAATGTTAGCTATTTCAAGTCTAAAAAATAGACCTGCTGTGCTTGCGGAACTTATGAGTTCTGAAACACTTTACACTACATAGTCGCACACCAGGGAAATCAATCAAAATGAACACCCAAATAGTTATTCAATTAAATAACAGATATTTGTTGAACTGTTTGTTATATCGAGTCGACCAGTTATTCACTGGCTGCAATCACAGGATAAACCACTTTACAGCTGTATGGTTTTCCAGCTTGTCAAAAATAGCGGTCACGTTACGATACATATGTTACAGTTCATATGTACAGATTAGACTAATGAGTGAGTGAGTTTAGTTTTAGACCGCTTTTAGCAATATTCCAGCAATATCATGGCGGGGGGACACCAGAAATGGGCTTCACAAATGGTACCCATGTGGGGAATCGAACCTTAAGCGTGACGAGTGAATGCTTTAACCACTAGGCTACCCCACCTCCTGATTAGACTAATGCTTAGTTTCTGAATATTAAATTTTGATAGAAACAAATAATTTCTTTTAAACTGAAAAGGAGCCCCAGTGAGATGGGAGATTCAGAACCTGAGGAAATCTAGACTTGCTTCATTTAGGGTTTAAGCCTAACAGAAAGGGCTGGTCGGAAGTGAACATAAAGCAGTTCGAGGGACCGTGAGACAGACTAATGTACCGGTACTGTTTTAACAGTTTTCTTTGCCTCTGGTAATGTGTCCAGTGTTCTTTGCCTCCATCCCGAGGCGACTAACGGGATCAGGTGGTCAGGCTTGCTGGCTTGGTTGACACATGTCATCAGTTCCCAATTGCACAGATCGATGCTCATGCTGTTGATCACTGGATTGTCTGGTCCAGACTCGATTATTTACAGACCGCCGCCATATAGCTGGAATATTGCTGAGTGCGGCATAAAACTAAACTCACTCACTCTTTGCCTCCATTCTTTTGTGCCAATGCTCTGATATGCAGAAAAAAAAAAAATTAAAAGTATATTTCTACAGTGAAAGTAAGAAGACCACCATTTCTGAACTATCATCCCTGTCATGTAGGTTACCCATCACACTGACAGCATCATCAGACTGTGATGCTGAAGGCCATTAGGTGTTCAACGCAATAACTGATAATGTCAAGCTGGAGAAATGTCAGAATTCTATCTGTAAATCACCAGATTAATGCGAAATTCAAGAGCAAGGTGTTAACCCTCTCAGAGACAGAATATGGTTTTAAGCTACTTTTGCATATTCAGCAATATCAGCATACCAGAAATGGGTTTCACACTTTGTCGTGTGAGGGTAATCCTGTGGGAAGACCTCTTGTCAACCTACCCACCTCCGTGTAATGAGCTTCCCTACCTTCTAAAACCTTTATCTTAACACCAAGAGCATGATATGAATACACAGTGCCTCTTACAAAGTTGTCAAATGTAACATGTTACATTTGCGATTACATTTTCTCAGAAAAGTGCTTCAGGAACTTTTTTCAGAAAAGTGCATTCTAGTACTTTTTCAGAAAAGTGCGTATTCTAGTATTTGTTTGGGTTGAGTCCCAAATTCCAAATATAACATGTTACATTTCATGTGTTTCTTAAAGGCATTGTGTATCCATGGTGTCTGATATGGGAGAAGTGCCAATTTACACATGCCAGAGGGGTGCACAACTATGTGATCTAAACTACCAGTTGTAAGACTTGCATTTTTGTGGAAGTCGAGGTGGCAGAGTGGATTAGTTTGCTGACTTTATGTCCTTCACTATGAGAGTGTTGGGTCATATCCCAGGTGGGACTCAACCCTAAACAGTAATAGAAAATGTACTTTTCTGAAAAAGTGTAATCCCAAATAAAACATGTCACCTGAACTGGAGTAGGACTCCTTTTAAAAATATTCTCTACTGGCAAACAAGGATAAGTTGAACATTGACCTGACAATTGACCTGTATAAGTATGTATGAGTGCCACCCACTGGCACTTGCTATTGTTAGCGAAGGGGCCCCAGGTTGGTGGGATCAAGTATAGTGCGATTTGCTACACCGACGTGAGAGTCTTATAAGCAAGGCGTGTGCAGCTACGCGCAAAATCAATTTCATTGTCATGCAATGCACGTGCACTAGTCTACATCTGCTCTATCTTTCACAAACCAAAGGGGTTTGCTCATTGCCGTGCACCGCTTACTTCTCGTAAACACGTTCTCAGCGCCGGTCCAACTTACCCTTGTTTGCCAGTAATGTCACTGAGACAGACTTCCTGTTTTGATAATCTCCACTGAGACAGACTTCCTGTTTTGATAATCTCCCACTTATTATGTGATGTCAGTGAAGGTGGTATCACCAAACATTAGACAAAGTTAACCTATCATTATTTGATAATTCAGCCATTTGCCAACAAGGAAGATGCCATCATTTCATGGTGGGCAACTGGCGGGACTGCTTCATTTTCACACCATTGCAGACTTTCAGTAGTCTATCCATATAATTATCATAGCTTTCCGCTCTTTACATCAATTTGAATCTGTCTTAAAACTGCTTATTCCCTTGAATGACTGTCTATACATATGGTGAGAGACACGATATGGTACCTCCCTCATGAAGAACCGGCTTAGAACTGGAATTAAGCACCCCCTGTTTGTCCTAAGAGGCCACTGACAGGATCGTATGTCAGCCTGGTTCATTTGGTGGATGAATTTCATCATATCCTGTTTGCATAGACAATAACAATAAATAAAAGTAAGAAACACAAAACTAGAGCCAACTTACCATGTTTATTGCATGTTATGTTAGTTATGTAAGACATACATCACTGTATTCTGCATGTGCAGTGAACTCCACTAACTTTATTTAGGTTTTAGGTATGTACAGTATACCGAGCCAGGAACCTCCATTAGACATTTATCAGACCTCTAAGAAGTGAGTGAGTTTAGATTTACGCCGCTTTTAGCAATATTCCAGCAATATCAAGGCTGGGGACACCAGAAATGGGCTTCACACATTGTATCCATGTGGGGAATCGAACCCGGATCTTCAGTGTGACGAGCCCTCTCAGAAGCCAACATCTGGCCTTAAGTCAGCAAACATTCCAACATTCATAATATTCACTTAATGTTTATGTTATTGTGATCTTAACTACCAGTTGTCAGACTTGCATTTTTGTGGAAGCCGAGGTGGCAGAGTAGGTTAGATTGCTGACTTTATGTCCTTCACTATGAAAGTGTTGGGTCAAATCCCAGGTCGGACTTTACATAATGTTATGGTTTTGGTCCCTTGTATTTCACTGATGACAGGATTTCAGCTTAGGTTTCTTTCAGCACTGAAATCAATGTTAAATACCTGAGTCTGAAAAGGTAGGAAAAAACTCAAATTTTATATCAAACGATTTTTTCTCAGAGTGACAACTGAAGGCACTTAGTAAGGAAATCTAGATGCATCTTTGGTCATTCACCTCAGAGGAACTGATAAATGAATTGCCTCCCCTACTTACTCAATACCTCTGATCAATATGGTTCCTGTAGCGTGATGCAGCCAGATTGTCTCTGGGCAGTGACTGGATGTTGTCATCAGCAATATTCTAGGTGTGTATAAGCAAGCCCTGGCCCGGGACAACGGCACCGGTAACAAACTATGCCGATATATCATGGATTTCTGTGGTGCCTGTTATCCAACACGAAGCTGTTCAACAGCACATCACAAAGTTTAGAAGGGATTACCCCGGATAACCCTAGCTGCCTGCGAGGCGCTAGAAGGTTATATTCACATGACTTATCCCACCAGGTACCCATTTTCTGCTGAGTGAACAGAGGCAATTTCTAATAAACTCACTTGCCTAAGGTGAGATCACATGTATCATATGGATCTTAATATGTAAAATTCCCAACTGAATAGCTCTAAAGCTACAGAATAATAAACATCATTGAAATAAATGGTCATTAAAGAGTCTTGCATTGAGAGATTCAATAAGTGCATCAATCTAGCCTCATATCAGGAAGTAACATGGGATGAGGAATCTCTGCAATATCCTTCCTGCATATATCAGGCCTTCCAAGAAAACTTTTCCACTGTGCATAAACATATTACCTCACTACAGTAAAACACTCAAAACGAAAGACTATGAAACTGCAACATTTTTATATCAGAGAACTTAGACCTCTACTGCGCATGTGCATTACGATCTGTGCTTCTTTCAAATTTCCAAGCAAACCGTGAATCGCCTTGCATAGAAAAAGTATTGAATATGTCGAAATAATTGCTGTCAATCATTTCATACGAATGGAAAGTAAACAAAACAAGTGTGCACACAAGTATCATGATGATAAAGCCACATAACACAACAGAAATACTTTAAAAAGGGAATGTAACTTTTGTCCAAGCTGGAAAATGTCAACATGCGGTCGAGACTTCCTCTTCCATGTGTGCATGCGTAAAATCGAAGTTGCAGGGTATTCCTTTTTTAATGCAGTTTTAGCGATTTAAAGTTTCCATTTCTACTGTTTCAGTAGCGAGGTAATATGTTTATGTTGCTATTTCCACAATTAATGTAGACTATTCAGGGTTTTTCTGCACAGTGGGAAAGTTTTCTTTGGTAGGCCTGTATATATCCTTCCTGCATATATAGCACACATTGACTGTACACAGCACCACAGAGTCAGCAGCAACACTCACAGCTTCCAGGTACCAAGGATCAAAACAATTACTTCAGGTCTTCACGACAATAAATCTTCATTCCATGGTAATCTGGTCCAGAAATCGTCCGACGAGACTGGACTCCATCCCAAATGGAAACCGATGCAACATTCCCGCCAAAAGTGAATATTCATTTATTGTAAAGTTTGTCATCCATCTTCACTGTGCAGGTCTAAATTGTTCACTTGGGAAGCATGCAATACCAGACCTGGGTAAGTGGAAGTGCTGGACTCCCAGTAGTACATCAACTAGTAGACCACACGTATGAGAATAGTCCTGATAATGGAGCTATCTTTAAGTCAGGTTCCTGTTGTTAGTGCCAGTTAAACCTTAATGGTAATGGCAATGGGTGCAGGGCCACCCTTACTCATTAACAGATGGCTGTTTCCTGTTTTTGTCTGAGAATCTCATGAACATGAATTTACATATCTTATTTTTCAAACTACTAAATATGACCTATTGAGTTGTAAGCTCTTGCATGTAAAAAGTACTCTCTATTTTGTAGGTGCTCTAACATATACAAAATATTCCCTTCTTTTCTAGAGACTCTCACACATGGAACATATTCCATACATTAAGTGGGATTCCCTCATTAACAAAATACTCATTATTTCTCTTGGGACTCTTAAATAATAATAATAATAATAATTGATTTATAGACGCCTATTTCCAAACTATATTGCTCAAATGCGCTATAAAGAGAAAAGATCGTAGACAATGTCTATGGACAAGAGAGTTTGAAAAGATGAGTTTTGAGGGCAGTTTTGAAAGCTTCAGCATGCTCTATTTCTTTTAGGGCGAGTGGTAGAATGTTCCAGAGATAGGGGGCTGCAGCAGAGAACGCTCTTGGGAATCCCATACTTTTCTTGGAAGGAAAGGACTCTCAACTATAAAATACATTTCCTAAAGTTTAAGGGGATCTCACACATAAATTATCTCTTAATTTTAATGAGGCACTCACATATTCACAACTTTAAAAATGGCTCCCACAGAAAGGTCTTACTACAGTGAATAGTGTAACTGAGAAAGAAAGTTGGCCCCAAAACTTTGTCAAAAGCCATCTAATTTGTCCTTCTGATTTCAGTTTCTATAACCACTTTGGTCTGTTAGTAAGTAAACTTCAAAAAGAACAGGAAATGTGTAAGGGTGTAAAGACGCAGACAGCTAATGAGAATGAAGGATACAGCATTTTACAAACAGTTTCTCCAATAGACATCAACTGCTTGATAACAGTGTTAAAATTTACATAGAAACTTCACAACAAATGTATTAAAACTGTTGATCATCCACACTACATTGTCACTCGCCATTGCTTATTCAGTTTCAATCCACTAACATATACATTTACAACCAAGCGTTAAACCAATTATGAAAGTGCAATTGATGAATTCTTAACCAAGGTCTGCCTTAGAATCAGTTCACAAACCCCAAAGCTCTCGACACCATTCTTCACATTGTAGGCGTAGGTTGCCACCAAAATTGGAAAGTAATATTGTAGAATAGACAGAAAGCCACAAAGATTGCCACTACAATCTGGAGCATTGCATGCTGGGACCACACAACCCATCTGTAGGGAGACCATTTTAGTCTTGATGATAGTGTTTCCGTCTAGGTATTGACACCATGGACGTTTTGATGGACAGTGTTGTCATGAACAGCGTTAATTCCGTGTGCACCTCGTGGTCATCTGAGTCTGGCGGCTAGGGCGGTCAAGGAAGTGCTAGACAGACCCCTCTTGGTCCGTGACACCACGTCTGGCTAAATGACTGAACACATCAACTTTCTACTCGTCTGCACAATTACACCCACAATGGAGAAAAGTATTACAACACTTATCACTGGTAGACTGGTGTTCAGAGAACCAAACAAACCTAACTTAACAAACACTAAAGGATAAGTATATATGATTTGGCTGGACAATTCAACTACTAAAATCTGGGTTTAGTCAAGCAGGAGACCTTTAAAGTTCAAAATGTGTGCAATCTCAAAATTATTATTTTTAATGTTACAGGATATTTATATAGCGCACATATCCAGGCAACTAGTGCATGCTCAAATCCAAGATGACCAGCAAAACAAAACACCAAAAAAACAAAATCGACAGATTTCTTTGATTTTCTTTGACAATTAGTCAAACAATATAACATTTGTCAACAGATAAACTATTTTATAAAGCCAAGATTAAAAAATGAGGCAACATGTTGAAAAGGAATTTCTTTTGGAACTATCCAGTACAGATTAACAGTCTTCAATGTATCTGACTATACATTTTATACAAAATATAAACCATAGATACACCTCAATATAAATATGCATGATTCAACTGCACTTTACAACCACTTTTTGTATTGACTTAATTCAAATACAAACTAAACTAAATCTGAAACTGACTATTTAATTTGAATCCACCATGATCATAGAATATACATGAAACTAAAACAAATAACGATTATAATTTTAAAAATAAGTCTAGCCACATCTATTATGTAAACTGAAATGGAATTCGCATCAGGAAAATATTGGTTGATGACATTTTATTAAAACTGATGACTATTGATTGACATTTCTCAAAGGGCTTTGAAATGACAGATGAGTTGTCAGCTGTCATTATTGCAAAACCTTCATGACAGTGAAAGGTCGCCATCTTTGTCAGAAGTATGGTCAATATACAATGATGGAATTTCATCACATCAGATCTCCAGAGATATGGAACCTCATGGATGGCACCAACAGACTCCATGGATGGAGACTTGTAAAGGCAGCTGTGCAGTGATGAGGTGATGTAAGAGAACACTCAAGATTTTGGTCAATATACAATGATGGGATTTCATCACTTCATTATTCCAGAGATATGGAACCTCATGGATGACACCAGCAAACTCCGTGGATGGAGACTTGTAAAGGCAGCTGTGCAGTGATGAGGTGATGTTGGAGGACACTTGAAATTTTGGTGAGTATACAATGATTGGTTTTCATCACATCAGATCCCCAGAGATAACCTCATCAATGACACCAACAGACTCCATGGATGGAGACTATAGTAGCTGTGCTGTGATGAAGTGATGTAAGAGAACACTCAAGATTTTGGTCAATATACAATGATGGGATTTCATCACTTCATATCTCCAGAGATATGGAACCTCATGGATGGCACCAACAGACTCCATGGGTGGAGACTTGTAAAGGCAGCTGTGCAGTGATGAGGTGATGTTGGAGGACACTTGAGATTTTGGTGAGTATACAATGATGGGATTTCATCACATCAGATCTCCAGAGATAACCTCATCAATGACACCAACAGACTCCATGGATGGAGACTTAAGCAGCTGTGCAGTGATGAGGTGATGTTGGAGGACACTCGATGGAGAGATGAGGTTAGGTTTTACTGACATGCTTGCAGGAAACCATGTTTACTTTCAGTGACAAATAGTCTTCAAGGCAATTTCTCAAAACACATAAAAAAATCAGATAGATACAGCATGTTATATTAGCTTACATGGATCCACAGAATAATGCACCAGAAATGTGAAAAAAGAAACCAGGATTTAAATGGCCCTGTTAGTCACACTGATGAATATAAATTACAAAATGGTTCACTGTGAGACTGTCTCCCCAAATAACATTCAAAGATTTGCAAGCACTACATTAAATGTGAGGCTATAATTTCATAGTCAATTCTATTCAGTTGACAACATTTTTACAAAATGCCAAGCAAGAAATAGAGACTTCTCATCATATGGATCCAAAATTCTAACAGACACCAAAACATTGTACTGAAGAGCCAATTATTCTAATTGTAAATTCAACTGTCAACAATAGATTTTGAGAAACAAAATCTTTTAAAAACTTCTATACGACTTCATAAAGAACAGTTCAGCACATTAGCAACAGTTAACGACATATACATCTGTGTCTGAGATTCTTATATTCAGTAATACATACATTTGGTATATTCATCAGTTCGTTATAAGAGTTAGTTATAAACATAGTTAACAGTATCCCCTATCAACTAGTGCTGGTATTGGCATACAACCAGCGATACGATACATCATGATACTAAAATTTTAGTCACTACGATATATTGCCAAAGTATTGTGCACTTAAGCTGCGATACAATACGAATCCCGATATAAGGGTGGCGATATGATACGTATCACGATACTAAAGTCTTTAATTCTAACACCAACTATAAAACGCCTTATGTTCAAAACAAAACCATTTAAAAGTATTTCGTCAAATTCCATCTGGGTTTTTCAATGTTCATTCGGAAATGAAATAATTGAGTTTATACACGGACTTTGTGAATGCTAATAAAATGCGAGCACTGTGTCTGACGCAAGAATTTCTGAGAAACTTAGGATGGGAAAAAAAGTATGCATATATTTTAATCATCAGCCAAAGTAAGTCTTTCTTGACAGATATTGCGATTCGGCAATATTCAAAGTAAAACTTTGATGTATTGTGGCCCATTTGAAGTATCGCATTGGGATATACGACAGTGTAAAACGTTGTATCGATTCACTGTATCTGTGGCCCATGGATCGATGCATCGATGCGTATCAATGAATCGTCACACCACTAATATCAACCCAAAGTATCATATGAAATTCCAGGTCTATAGCTAATTCATGGTGATGTTCTAAGGTCATATTATGACAAGATTACTTTCCTAATTGTAATTAATTGATAAGTTTCTCATGCTTCAGTCGGGAGGTGGGTGAACCTAGTAGTTAAACCGTTCGCTGTCACACCAAAGACCCGGGTTCGATTCCCCACATGGGTACAATGGGTGAAGCCCATTTCTGGTGTCTCCTGCCATGACATTGCTGGAACATTTCTGAAAGTGGTGTAAAAATAAACTCACTCATACTTCAGTCTAATTAACGAATATCGGTGTCCAAACTTTATGGTTTAAGATATTTAATGTATGTTTAGGATATTATCCAGTTGTATTATCACCATTGTCTTGATAATTCACAGATATGGGTGAAACAATTTGGTGGTATGTAGCAGCAGTGAGCTGGATGACTTCACTCATGGCAGTTGTGTCGTCAGTAAATGTGCCACTGTCAGTGGGTTTTGTCTGCACTTGTGCTCTCGTCTACAGCAGACCCTAACACAAACACAGCAAACTATGATCATAACGATCTGGGTGCCGTTGTACAAAACGATCTTAGCGCTAAGGTGACCGTAACTCCCATACCTTAACATGGACTTAAGGTAGCCTTAGCGCTAAGGTTGTTTTGTACAACGGCACCCTGACCACTTAATTTTAGTTTGTTATAACCATATACAGTAGGCCAGGACAATGTTTGTTACATCAGAAAGTTTGTAATAAGTGTGTTGAGTGTGTTGTTTATCCACTACAGCCCTTGCAAGCCTTGTTGGCAATTCTCCATCACTGCAGTTTCAGCAACTCTGAAACTGAAGAAATTCTTGGAGCTCCTTTGTATCATATTTGATTAAGACAATTTACCAACTGACAGCTGTGAAAATTATTTCTATTTCAGAGGATGTATGTTAGACTGCTTATCCTATGATATTTACCTCACAACTCATGAGATAAGTGGTATCTGACTGACACTCATGTAGTAATCTTTGTGAACCATTTCATGTACATTGCACTTTCAGACAAAGCGAAGTCATATTTTAGAGGTGCTTCAAACAGATTTAACTCTTTTTCTTTTTGCTGCTTCACTGTCAATGAGTGAATGATAGCAGCTGTTACCTAGCAACATGTTTGGTGAAGACATAAGAAAAGATACACATATCCTTTTCAACTCTTGTTACACACTATAACACTATTCCCTGAGTCTGTTGATAGTCATTATATCATAACATGCTCATCAATAACATATACTATCAAACACACATGCATCAGTAAAATTCAACTTTCAACTGATATAAATACTTTCAAGTCATTGGTGCAACATTGTTGAGGATTCTCCTTCTGAATGACGTTCTGTATGCATTATCGTAAACTTACACGTCTTAAATAAAATACATCAAGTTGTCAGCTTTGTCAAGCAATAAAACACTTGGTAACCCCTCATGGTATTGTGATCCTGAAGACTTTGTGCTAACAAGGTACCGTATATTACCGTCTATAAGCCGACCCCATAGATAAGCCAACCCCAAACTTGACCCTTAAAATCAGTGTCAAAAGCCAACCCCAGCGATGGGGTCCTAATCCTGGCAAAGACAGACCACAGACAACTGGCAGTTACCAATAATTATAACTTTGGTCCACATTGTTCAAAGAATTCACAATCATATTGCGTCTACTCACGCATCAAAATGAAGTGTAGTTGGCAGAAAATGGATAATATATTTTGTTTCGCTAAATATCATACTTATTGTAGCTGGACGATCACATGTCAACAAACTGTGCGTACAACTTCCACTTACCACGTTCGTGAGGGCATGTTTTTCGCTCCAACCACGATAGCCAATTTCACATCATATTGTCAACAATAATCTTGTCCAGTGATGTTTAATTGCAAATTTGACGTCTTTACTGACAAAGTTGTCTTCTGTTGTTTGTTCACGTGAAGTGATATGATGTTGTTTTCTTACCCCTTGAAAAAAGTTTGACTAAAGCGTAACTCATAGATAAGCCGACCCCCTTCTACAGACTGCTTTTTTAAATCCTCAAAATTCGGCTTATAGACGGTAATATATGGTATTAACAGTATTAATACTCTAGATACAGATGATAAGGCTTATTAATACATTGTTCCCGATCCATCCCTTAGTGCTTGCTCATACAGACACATTATTAATTCCTCGTCTTCTCAGCTCCCTAGGGAGTATACAACCTGCTGTGGCTTATAGACTTTTAATGGTTTTGCATTCCAATAACCATCTCCTGCCTGATACCCTTTAACTGCTGGGTAAACAGAGGCACTATAATACTAGTCAGCAACATACACTACAAGTCACATTACAAGTGTTCATGAATGGTGTTTCAAAGTAACAGGACATTGAGTCCTGTAAGTTTTAGATGTCTGTCTGACCCATTGAAAATTCACAGGACCCATAGAATAAAATTAAACACACATTTCAGATTTAACATTTCTTATAATTGGCATTGAAATTATTAACAAACATAACATGTTATTAACATGTCACATGTCACATATAACAACTTCAGTCAAAGTCATTGTGAAATATACAGTCGGACACTGGGGCCGGTGGGTTGTAGACTTCTACCGAACCGTTGGCGAATCTGCCGGATTTGTCAGAGGGTCAGACACTATTCGCGAACACTGCATTACATCAAGTTCGGCATTGATAATACTGTTTCTTCCAGTATGTGACACCTCTATCTTTCTTCAGCATCCGTTTGAAGTTTTTGTGAGTTGAGGAGAAACTGGATTTACAACACATTCAGGATTATTGCACTTGATGTAGCCACGTGCTTGCATGTATGTATGTGGGTGAGGGGCTGTGTGTGCTAGTCTGGACTGATGCCAGTGTTATAGGCAACGAAATTAGACGTCAGCATCACTGATGTCACATCTCAGAAAGATGTGCTGTTTTTGCACAAGAAGTAGTTTTGCCATCTTTCTGCCATCCATGAACATGTTTTCCTCACTGCCGTTATGCTAATGAGAGCATGGGTGAGGCGGGTGACATCCCCTACAGATTATTGTACTTACACACTAAAGTGTACGAATCATTCTGACCACTGAGATACCATGCCACAGTTTAAAGTGGATCGCCCACTCAAATACTGTATGCTGTTGTAAGCTAAACAGTATCTGACAGACATCTCATTCAGACAGTGCTTTCAGACAGGATTAGTAAGATTTTACAAGTGCTTCAAACAGATGGCTTGATCCTGCTTCACTGTTGAGAGAGCAGATATTAACATTGCTGGTCAGAAACAGGTTTGGGCATCATAAGAAGCACAGATGTTCCTTCCAACTCTAATTATGCACTATATAGTCCAATTTGTAAACAATACAAAAATAAATCATTAAAAATCCCAGTCATCAAAAGGCACCAGTTCACCACTGGACTGATCTCTATAGAAAGCTTTAACAAGAAATATTCCACAGTATAGGAGTTGTGCTTTGGGAATGGGAAACAGACACCGGGCAAACCGGGGGTATAAACAGGTAAAGAAACTCGGGGGTATAAACAAGCAATGACATTCAGCACTGCAAAAGGTAAAGAAACTCTGAATACTATTGCTATAGTGTTTTGAACTATGACAATACTATTGCTACAGTGGTTCAACTATTGCCATAGTAATATAATAGTGTTTTGAACTATAACAATACTATTGCTACAGTGGTTCAACTATTGCCATAGTAATACAAAAGTGTTTTGAACTATGACAATACTATTGCTACAGTGGTTCAACTATTGCCATAGTAATATAAAAGTGTTTTGAACTATGACAATACAATTGCTTCAGTGGTTCAACTATTGCCATAGTAATATAATAGTGTTTTGAACTATGACAATACAATTGCTACAGTGGTTCAACTATTGCCATAGTAATATAATAGTGTTTTGAACTATGACAATACAATTGCTACAGTGGTTCAACTATTGCCATAGTAATATAATAGTGTTTTGAACTATGACAATACTATTGCTACAGTGGTTCAACTATTGCCATAGTAATATAATAGTGTTTTGAACTATGACAATACAATTGCTACAGTGGTTCAACTATTGCCATAGTAATATAATAGTGTTTTGAACTATGACAATACTATTGCTACAGTGGTTCAACTATTGCCATAGTAATATAATAGTGTTTTGAACTATGACAATACTATTGCTACAGTGGTTGAACTAACTATTGCCATAGTAATATAATAGTGTTTTGAACTATGACAATACAATTGCTACAGTGGTTCAACTATTGCCATAGTAATATAATAGTGTTTTTTGAACTATGACAATACTATTGCTACAGTGGTTCAACTATTGCCATAGTAATATAAAGTGTTTTGAACTATGACAATACTATTGCTACAGAGGTTCAACTATTGCCATAGTAATATAAAAGTGTTTTGAACTATGACAATACTATTGCTACAGTGGTTCAACAACTATTGCCATAGTAATATAATAGTTTTTGAACTATGACAATACAATTGCTACAGTGGTTCAACTATTGCCATAGTAATATAAAGTGTTTTGAACTATGACAATACAATTGCTACAGAGGTTCAACTATTGCCATAGTAATATAAAAGTGTTTTGAACTATGACAATACTATTGCTACAGTGGTTCAACTATTGCCATAGTAATACAATAGTGTTTTGAACTATGACAATACAATTGCTACAGTGGTTCAACTATTGCCATAGTAATATAATAGTGTTTTGAACTATGACAATACAATTGCTACAGTGGTTCAACTATTGCCATAGTAATATAATAGTGTTTTGAACTATGACAATACAATTGCTACAGTGGTTCAACTATTGCCATAGTAATACAATAGTGTTTTGAACTATGACAATACTATTGCTACAGTGGTTCAACTATTGCCTTTGCCTCACAATGATGTTTGTAACAACCGTTCTACAAACAGAACTTGTAAAATGGCACCAACTGCCATGCCTCTCAACAACACACCACCAGTTTAGTCCTAAGTTCAGATTCTAGTGTTCAGATCCTACCTGTCTGGATCCAAGTCTTCATGTGGATATAGGTGATGGCCAGTCTGATGATACTGCTTTTGTCCAGCTTGTTCAGACTGGACATGTTGAAGGGCAACACCTCACACAAATTTGCCAACTCGACACTCTCTTGGTCCCGACGTGCTTTGGCTGCTAGCTTGGACTTAATTGCTCTGAAAGACAAAAGAATGTATCCATCAACGGAATCAAGTTCTATTTTGTGTTCTTCTTCTTAAAAGAGCATGTTTCTGCACTTACTCAACATATTAACATTTTAGCAATCTTTTGAACTGTTCACAAACAAATGTCTATTTGTCAGATACCTTAAAATCAAAATGTTATGGTTGAGTTGTCCCACTAGTCCAAAGCTGGATTAGTCCCAATCACACCCAATTTGTGAAACCCTGATGAGAATATAAAACTTTCAATAAATAAATGAAAACACTTTCACTGTGTTTCACAGGCTTTAACAGACACACATTATCAACATGGTGTAATGTATTGCTACATTGAGGTTCATTACATGCAGCAATTTCCACTTTGGAATCACTAGAATCAGTCCAACATCAGCAAATACTGCACTTGGGTGTTGACCCATTGTATGAACTAGACATCAACTGAGTTATGAGTACAAAATGTTGAAAGAGTTTAATCGCGAAATATAACATATGATATACCAAGTGAGTTTGTCAAGGCAGTTGACGCATGTCTCTGGAATCATGTTTCCAAACTGGAGGAACACCATCAAAGTCCAACAGGACAATTTATCACTTGCTTTTTGTCTCAGATCTCTTCATTATCTCATTTAGTCTGTCTCACACTCCCTGAAACACATTATCTCCCCTACTGCCTGCCCTTCCCTGCAATGTAGTCTGACACACAGTCCCTGAAACACATTATCTTCCCTACTGCCTGCCCTTCCCTGCAATGTAGTCTGACACACAGTCCCTGAAACACATTATCTTCCCTACAGCCTGCCCTTCCCTGCAATGTAGTCTGACACACAGCCCCTGAAACACATTATCTTCCCTACTGGCTGCCCTTCCCTGCAATGTAGTCTGACACACAGTCCCTGAAACACATTATCTTCCCTACAGCCTGCCCTTCCCTGCAATGTAGTCTGACACACAGTCCCTGAAACACATTATCTTCCCTACAGCCTGCCCTTTCCTGCAATGTAGTCTGACACAAAGCCCCTGAACCACATTATCTTCCCTACTGCCTGCCCTTCCCTGCAATGCTAAAGCCCTAAATGAAGCGACCACCTCCGTGGTGTAGTGGTTAGAGCGTCCGCCCGGAGAGCGGAAGGTCACGGGTTCGATCCCCAACCGCGTCATACCAAAAGACGTTAAAATATGGTACTTGTTGGTCCCTGCCTGGTCTTGGCATTAATGGGTACAACAACGACTGATCTGCTCGGAGTCAGTATAATGTGTCTGAGTGGGGTATTCATGCTTCACTGCGGCATGGTATCTCAGTGGGCTAGCACTATAAAACCAGCTTCAGTCTGGGCTAGTACAAGCAGCCGCACATACACATACACACGCATGCACGCCGTCATATGAGCCGAAATATTCTCAAGCACACGACGTAAAACCCAATTTCACCTCACCTCACCCTAAATGAAGCAAGTCTAGATTTCCTCAATTTCATCTCACTGGCCATCCCATTGGGGCTCCTTTTTCAATTTAAATGGGACTTTTTGCATATTATATATATTCAGAGACTAAGCATTAGTCTATATGTCACTATGCTGATGAATCTTGCAAAATCAAACACCAGAGGATGACATGACAATGAGACTCTGGCATGGATGACATAAAGTAGATTCTGCTCATAAGGACTGGCAGGAAAAGTCCCATACATGCAGACATTTAATGACGTCTGCAGAGCATGCAGCTGTGCATCAACACACAATGCATTTTAGAAGGTTGTCTTTTGGTCTTATTAAAGTACATATTGTAGTACAAGATTCAACCATTGACATTTTTCGAATGAGGTACCCACTCAGCCACCAAAGCGTCCATGAGTTAGATCCATGAGTTCATCCCTGAGTTTGTCCATGAGTTCTTCCATGAGTTCGTTCATCAGTCATGAACAATAGAAATTGACTGACCTGTGAAGCCTTCCCCATGGCCTCAAATTCCAGTGACGGCAAGCTTGTAGTGTTGCTGTTAGTTCTGGGAATAACAACGAACATCTGATAGGTTGTCTGGCTCTTTTCCCAGCCGATTTTAGGTGATTTCAAACCATTTTGTTGGTCAAGCTGACAAGCCAGTCTGTTTTCAACACGCCACACATGACATGAACAGATGAAGACAGATTCTGAAAAGGGCCGAGTTGTCACCTGGTCATCCTGAACACTGACCATCCTCAACATCATCAGTTTACTGATGTTTGCTGGTCACTCGGTTGATCTCTTGCAATCAATGACATGCCAGCATTCCACATACCAGTAACTTACCATTTCTAATCAGTTGTCAGTTGAGGAAGACCCATATTTGTTAATAAGCAATCAAATCAATTGACTCTCCAGGTTGTCTAGCTGTTAGAACAGCTTACAGAAACTTAATATCTGCTTAATGACTGGGACACGACTTGCATGTGATACTTGCCTTTCATCGTGCATATCTAAAATGAATGTGTGGAAAACCTGAAGGGTCTCAATAATCATACGAACTAATATAATTATGAGTATGAATGGCTATAAAAGAGTTAACTATCATAGGTGTTGCAAGACTTTTTTACATGTGTATATGTATGAATCAGTGATAAACAAAACCTCCACACACACACACCCTGGATATTAACTAAATGATTTGCACGTAACCCTTCACAATCTTTTCTCATTTGTTGAGATGGCTACACAATTAAATGACAGTGAAAACCCACTTTTGTCCGCTGCTGGATGCCAAGCCCTGTAAAGTGAAATCCTGAATGCCATAGCGCAGTATGCTGGATGTCACGAAATGTTATCTGGTACACCAACCCCAATATTTCAATGTCAATATTTTTCTGTCCGCATTCTTTCTTTCATAGAGCAACAACTGAACAAATTATTCAGCCTTAAGCTCTAGTTTGTCTCACAGTCCCTGAACCACATTATTGTCCCTACTCACGTAGCCTTCCCTGCAATGCTTAAGTCCTAAATGAGGCAAGTCTAGATTCCCCAGGTTCAGACGATGGATGCTATTATTCTACACAGACATACAAGTGATGGCAATATCTCCTGTTACATGTAAGATTAGAGTGGATCTTCAGTCCACACAGTCAGACATGTTGCAGTTACATAACATTTTCCCCAACTCTGTCTGGTACCTGAAGCCCAACAGACATATTTGTACAGCCTTCCTCGAATAATATTTGTAAAGGGTGTATTCTTGAATACAGACCTCGAGTATATTCTAGTCAGTCTCACAGTCCCTGAACTGCATTATTTCCCTACTGCCTAGCCTTTTCTGCAATGCTAAAGACCTAAATGAAGCAAGTCTAGATTTCAATTTCATCTCATGCTGATGGGACTTTTGTGATCAATATTATTAAGCATTAGTCTATATGTCAATCAAACTTGCACCAAAATCAAACACCAGAGGATGACATGACAATGAGACTCTGGCATGGATGACATAAAGTAGATTCTGCTCATAAGGACTGGCAGGAAAAGTCCCATACATGCAGACATTTAATGACGTCTGCAGAGCATGCAGCTGTGCATCAACACACAATGCATTTTAGAAGGTTGTCTTTTGGTCTTATTAAAAGTACAATATTGTAGTACAAGATTCAACACGTGACACTTTCCGAATGAGGTACCCACTCAGCCACCAAAGCGTCCATGAGTTAGCTTCCATGAGTTCATCCCTGAGTTTGTCCATGAGTTCTTCCATGAGTTCGTTCATCAGTCATGAACAAAAGAAATCAACTTTTGTCTGACCTGTGAAGCCATCCCCATGGCCTTAAATTCCAGTGACGGCAAGCTTGTAGTGTTGCTGTTAGTTCTGGGAATAACAACGAACATCTGATAGGTTGTCTGGCTCTTTTCCCAGCCCATTTTAGGTGATTTCAGACCATTTTGTTGGACAAGCGACAAGCCAGTCTGTTTTCAACACGCCACATGACATGAACAGATGAAGATTTCTGATTCTGAATAGGGCTGAGTTGACACCTGGTCATCCTGAACACTGACCATCCTCAACATCATCAGTTTACTGATGTTTTCTGGTCACTCGGTTGATCTCTTGCAATCAATGACATGCCAGCATTCCACATACCAGTAACTTCCCATTTCTAATCAGTTGTCAGTTGAGGAAGACCCATATTTGTTAATAAGCAATCAAATCAATTGACTCTCCAGGTTGTCTAGCTGTAAGAACAGCTTACAGAAACTTAATATCTGCTTAATGACTGGGACACGACTTGCATGTGATACTTGCCTTTCATCGTGCATATCTAAAATGAATGTGTGGAAAACCTGAAGGGTCTCAATAATCATACGAACTAATATAATTATGAGTATGAATGGCTATAAAAGAGTTAACTATCATAGGTGTTGCAAGACTTTTTTACATGTGTATATGTATGAATCAGTGATAAACAAAACCTCCACACACACACACCCTGGATATTAACTAAATGATTTGCACGTAACCCTTCACAATCTTTTCTCATTTGTTGAGATGGCTACACAATTAAATGACAGTGAAAACCCACTTTTTGTACGCTGGATGCCAAGCCCTGTAAAGTGAAATCCTGAATGCCATAGCGCAGTATGCTGGATGTCACGAAATGTTATCTGGTACACCAACCCCAATATTTCAATGTCAATATTTTTCTGTCCGCATTCCTTTCATAGAGCAACAACTGAACAAATTATTCAGCCTTAAGCTCTAGTTTGTCTCACAGTCCCTGAACCACATTATTGTCCCTACTACGTAGCCTTCCCTGCAATGCTTAAGTCCTAAATGAGGCAAGTCTAGATTCCCCCAGGTTCAGACGATGGATGCTATTGTTCTACAGACATACAAGTGATGGCAATATCTCCTGTTACATGTAGATTAGATTGGATCTTCAGTCCACACAGTCAGACATGTTGCAGTTACATAACATTTTCCACAACTCTTGTCTGGTACCTGTAGCCCAACAGACATATTTGTACAGCTCGAATAATATTTGTAAAAGGGTGTATTCTTGAATACAGACCTCGAGTATATTCTAGTCAGTCTCACAGTCCCTGAACTGCATTATTTCCCTACTGCCTAGCCTTTTCTGCAACACTAAAGACCTAAATGAAGCAAGTCTAGATTTCCAAGGTTCTGAATCTCCAATCTCACTGGGTCTTCTTTTCAATTTAAATGGGTATATTTGTAATTATCAAAAGTATACATATTCAGAGAATAAGAGTTAGTCCACCTTCAGCTCAAGATCATGCATGGTCATGCATCTTATGTTAAAATCCCAGTCTGATCTACTTGCACAGCTGTGTACACTGATACGACACAGGAGTTGTCAAACTGACAAATTAAGTGGTATGCCGGATGCTGCTTGGTTGGCGCCCTCGTAAATAACGCTACATACAGCTACACACAGGTACATTTACATATGTGTTTACTAATCAGAAGAGAAGAATAGTCAGCCATCAACTAACAACTACTGAATTGCCTGCTGTTTGTGTCGTCTGCTTCGTCTGCCTGTCACATCAAAATGCAGGGCTAATGGCTGTCTTTGACAATGAGTTTGCAATGGCTTTATCACTCCGGATATTGAAAATCTTAGTTCTAATCTAATCTAATCATTTTGTATAGCGCTGAAAGGTTCCAGGTATACTGTTCACTGGCGCTAGTTGACTGTCCTAATTAGACATTTCTGCATGTGTTTCTGAAGGCACTTTGGGTTGCTGTTGCATGGTGGTCAAAGTGGGTGAGTGAGTGAGTGAGTGAGTGAGTGAGTGAGTGAGTGAGTGAGTGAGTGAGTGAGTGAGTGAGTGAGTGAGTGAGTGAGTGAGTGAGTGAGTGAGTGAGTGAGTGAGTGAGTGAGTGAGTGAGTGAGTGAGTGAGTGAGTGAGTGAGTGAGTGAGTGAGTGAGTGAGTGTTATATAGCCATATTAAACTTTGATCCATTGATCACTTTCACCACATGCAATAAAGATTAAAAACTGAACTCAGGATATAACATGCCTGTTAAGAACCAAAAATTACAATGATACCTTTGGATATAGTCCTGACAATTCTTGTCCTACATTATCAGTTTGTTAAACTCTACAATTACAAGTTTCAGATCTTGCTTTTGTTTCATGTTAATATGGGACAAATAATTTGTCTGTATTTCACTGGCTCGATCTTTGTTCAGTCAACAATTTGTTTCTGACAGGCTCAATCCATCCCACACTTGAAAATAATCACTACGTTTCTGACCATTGCATACACTAATAACCTCACAGCTACCTGACACCTGACCACCACAAATACAGCACAATACTAAGTGCCTTCTGACAAGATACTCTTTGGAAAATAAACAATACCCAAAACTCTTGCAGGCTTCTCAGCAACTATAATACAACGTCAGAGGCTTTTTCTTCCTGTTGGTTTTGTTTACTGCCATAGCCAGAATAGAGATGAGAAACACACAGTGAGTGAGTGAGTGAGTGAGTGAGTGAGTGAGTGAGTGAGTGAGTGAGTGAGTGAGTGAGTGAGTGAGTGAGTGAGTGAGTGAGTGAGTGAGTGAGTGAGTGAGTGAGTGAGTGAGTGAGTGAGTGAGTGAGTGAGTGAGTGAGTGAGTTTTGTTTTTTTGTCGCTTTTAGCAATATTCCAGCAATATCACGGTGGGGGACACCAGAAATGGGCTTCTCACATTGTACCCATGTGGGTAACAGAACCCGGGTCTTCG